TCTGAACTCATACAATGATATCAGGGCGGATTTTTTAACATATAACTAACAACTTAAAAGTCAGTGGTGGTAAAATCTCTCGGTCATTGTTCTCAGTTACTGAAATCATTGAGGTCCCAATTAAATGGTCTCGGGTACCCGAGATAACCCTCCCCCAAGACAAATCTAGGGATCGTTTATATGAAATTTGACATCTGCTAACCCCCGTTCGACCAGGCCAGGATAAATATTCGTGGCGTACGACAGGAAAAGAATAGCTGTAATACGCAGGGGCTACGGTTATAGCGTGCGCGCACGCATTTTCTGATGGAGTTGTCTTGTCTCGGGTGGGCGAGACAAGGTGTTTACATAGAAAAAAATATCCCGCCTACCAGAGTTACCCTACCTTCCGAGGTGAGACAAATCACCCCCCTTCGCTCCCCCCTTCGCCCCCTAATTATCTCGCCTACCCGAGACGAGATTCACATCCTCATGTCAACCGGCGGCTGAATTTTGAATTTTGTAAAGAAATAAGTGAAAAGTTGGCTTGCGCAAGGTAACTCGGGGAAAGGGTTGTCTTTGGTGCCTGAGACCATGTAATTGGGGCCAAAGACTGCTGCAGCATTCTATTCAGAAATAAATTCCTAGGTAGAGCTTTTATTTCACTAGATCAAAACACCCTGAGATGGCAAAAAACACTCTGATATCTGGCGTTGATCATTTTCTATAGACTTCCTTCCCAACTAGATGTTATATTTGTCCGAATTTACTATCTCCACCTCCCAGCTCTTGGCAGAACTCATTGGTCCTGTTGTCAAAAAAAAGAAGCCACCATTATGAGACTCGGTAGCCGAATGCGAAGTGAACATTGTTGAATAATTATTCAACAATATTTCGACACTGAGTCCAAGGCGAATAGTTGTTTTAGTATAATTGCCCAAGTGATTTCGAATCCTGTTGTAAATTCGATTTAATTGATTTTGAAACCATCTGTTACAATTGTTTTGATTACTCGTATCGAGATAAGCAGCCAGTTACTACCAGAACTTAACAGCAAAGCTTCATATCTTTCTTTGGAAATATGTTACCCCAAAATTAGACGCATCTTTTGTGCTCTTCACAATTGTATTCTCTTCTATTGCCCAACATTGACAAAACGCGAGGTAGCCAGTTTGAAACTTAGCGTCCCTGCTATAATCACCTTGTGCGAGGTGATTTTAGTGAGATATGACGCAATACTTAAGCAATCATACTAACATTCTTACAAATGTACCCGAATATATCGTGCAATGCAAATGTCAAAGCCAGCAGCTAGAGATCAGTGTTCAGCCACAAATTTGTGTCGAGTAAAAAAGGCAGATATTAACTTACCTTGCGCACCACACACACGACAGCTCCTCTTGCAATACACCTGCATATATCTTGGCTTTCTGTAGCATTCACCCCTTGTTGCCCAGTTTCCACAATGATAGTTTTGATCCTTACAGGGTCCTGTAATGAGAAAGATATTGGGAGGTCATGCCGTGTAACTGGGCTCTTCAGGTGCCATCTAGATGCCACCCCAGGACTGCTAAGACCCAAAATCACTGACTGCGCACGGAAAGGTGCCTCCACACTGTGTAGAATGCTAACAAGAATATCTCCCAGGTAAATCACTCTCGTCTCTGGTATAATGACTCGGACGAAGAAGTGGCGCAAAACGAGTTTAAAGTGTACCTTCTCCTCCTCCTCCTCCTCCTCC